CCTTTTTTTCTGCAAAACCACATCAGGGTAGCAACTGTTGAGTAATGAGGGTACAATAGAGTCCCAAAAGAGAAGACCTAGTGAGAATGATGTTTTTAACTCAGGACTGCCAGTTAGGAATATTCTCATAGTCTCTCTCTCTCTCTTTAAGATGTTTAATGTGTTAAATAAAATCAGTAATGGTTAGGAGGACATGGAAAATTTTCTGGGTTTGGTTTGGTTTGACCCAGGAGAGATTTTGTTATCCTGCCTCAATTATTTCTACAATCCCTCTTTCCATTTTTTTCTATATAATCCAATTTGTAATAAGAAAGAACAATGAAGAAATTGATGGCTATAGCAAGAGAATCGGCTTCTGCAAATGTATATAAATTGCTCCAGAGCTATATCTTAAAAGGTGCTACCTCTGGTCAATGGGACTGCTGCTGAAGGACTTCCCCCATAAATCAGCCACTGGAACATATTATGTTTGTTCATAATATAAGTTATCTTCTACTCCCATTTCTAAGAAAAATCCATCTTTTAGGCAGCAGTGGACAAATTCATTTTACATTCCCTTTGCACTACATGGACGTTCAACTGCCTTCATAAGCATAAGGTCTGTGGTCAGTTTTAGGCTTACTAATTCCTGGAAGATGTGAAGAAAACTAAAACTGGAGCACAGCCTGAAGAGGAGACCTCAAGAAAAACACCAATCAATGTCTACAATTACCTTCCTATTGTGCTATTCCAGCAGACCAGAAGATATAGTGGTTTGTCTTTCATTCACAAACATTAAGTGAATAGGTGCTTTTTTCTTTTTGGATGCATAGTGTGACATATCTTTGATTATTTAAGAATTATCTGCACTTTAACATCTGGATCCTCTGCTCCACTGTCTTTCAATAAAATATGATCTCTGTACAGAGCAGTATGTATTCTTCAGTTTTTCTTCAAACCTTTAGGGCAGTGTTGGGTTGCAAAACGATACACTGCATCAGTCTTCCCCAATTTTGTACTTTCCGGATCTATTTGATCATCTCTCTTAATTCGCCATAAGCCTTCTCGCTGGTCACGCTGGGAGATGCTTATGGGAGTAGGTCTAACATCTTTGAAGGCACCAAGTTTGAGAACACAAAACCAAAGCTACAGTTCCATCACAGATCCATCACTTAAAGCACAGCTGTAAAACTTGCGTCATGCGCTGGCCACGCAGCCTACTTTAGTGAAGGGGGGGGGAAGTCCCCATATGTCACATGACGCAGCCATGATGACACAAGTTGGCACCTCTGACTTAAAGCAAACTAAGTTTGGTGTCATGGGGATAGTGCTGGCCTAGAAACCAGGAGATTGTGAGTTCTAGTCCTGCCTTACGCATGAAAGCCAGCAGAGTGACTTTGGGCCAATTACTCTCTCAGCCTAACTTGCCCCATAGGGTTGTTGTTGTGGAGAAAATAGGAAGGAGTATTAGGTATGATTGCTGTCTTGACTTACTTAGAAAAGCAGGATAAAAATCCAATTATCAATCAATCCCCACAGAGAAAATAATGAACATATGTTAATTATTTCCTTTTGGTTTTGGGACACAGAACAGCTGAAAACATTTGCACAATTATCTTGACTCAATTAGGCCATGTAATACTTGCTTTAAAATCCACTTTCTATAATAAAGTTCCTTAGGGTCTAAAATTGAAGAAATATATTTTTAGAATGGCCAAAACCTACCACAGAACTATGATTATTCCTAGATTCACAAATAATAGTATTATTATCTGAGATTTTAGTGGTTTTTCAATGAACTTCATTATGCTCTCAATTCCAAATGGCTCTGAGCAGCTTACATTAAACAACAAAAAACATTAGAACAATTACAATAAAACTACAGGTATATTCCCATATGGCACCACTTGCTATGTGTTGGTCAATGTTCATTGCTCCCAAATGCTTAAGAACCATGTCTTCAGTTATCTACCACAGGGATTCTGAACTGATAGAATGTATCTTTCATGCTGGATTCAAAAGGAATCTAGGTTAAACATGCAGTAAATCAATGAAATTTCCAAACTTGCCATAAATTATATGTACAGCGTCAGTATGGCAGTAAACATATAGATGGTTTTTTTTTTCCTTGGGGGAAAAATAGTCTTTTCATAAGAGACATGGTGGCACCCAAGTACCTTGATAAGAGTAGATGCCTTTGAGAATTGGTCTACTATGAGTGTCAGCAACCCGTGGCTCCAGAGCCGCATGCGGCTTTCACCCCTCTGCTCTGGCTCCCTATCGGGTGATCCCACCACTGGCTGGCCCCGCCCCTCACCCTCCCAGTCACTCCTCGCCTGGCCTGAGAAGGTAAGGGCGATGGCAGGGGATGAAGATTCGCTTCATATTTCAGAGCAGGAGCAAAGCATCCCTGTACTTACTAAGTCTCGCGAGCACTTCTTCGGGCCCTTCTTGGTACTGTGTGCCCCTCGATCACTCTGAGAGATGCGAGACCTGCTCTCCGCCCTGAGATACTAGCCCGACTCAGCTGCAGCCACTGCTGTTGCCGCCTCCATGGCCTGCCCGCTGCTCTCACAGTGCCTTGCACAGCACAGTGAAAGTATGTTTCACAATGGAGGAGATAGGGTCCCCTCCTCCTCCTGGAGCCTATTACGACATAGAGCCACCCTGCCCCACTCACCTCTGGCAACAGCAGTAGCGGCAGCTTGCTCTCGTCTCCCAGAAGTCAGTTGCTGTGATGCCACACCTCCCTGCCTCCCAGCTGATTGTCAGCACACTGCTAATCTGCCATTCTCGGTGGGCTCTAAAGCGGCAGCGGCAGAGTGATCAGCGTGCACAAGGTTCAAGACATGCACGTTTCTTCTGGCCTCCTGTGGCGGGGGAGGCAACAGGCCTGGGGCTGCCAAGTGTGGGGGTTGCACCTTGGATGTAAGGGGGAGACTCCGCAGTCACCAGCACACTACTTGGTTGCCCTGGACCTGATCTGCTTTAGAGATTCTGCAGCTCCTGTCACTCCAAATCGCACATTGGCTCATCCTGGAGACCAAGTACTGGACCAGTGTAACAATCTTTCTCTATCTGTGCCTGGCCCGCTGGATCTTTCCAGACACACAAGAATTGTTCATGTGCCTGATTTGTCCCAGATAAGTGGTTGCATGGGCAAGTTACATTATTGTCTGTTCTTGTGCAAACACACACACACACAGACATACAGAGATTCAATAGGGAAGAGCTGTCTTTTATAAACATGTATTCTTGCAGAGAGAGGGGGGGGAAGAGACGAGAGAGGGGGAGACAGAGAGATAGAGAAGAGACAGAGAGAAGAGAGACACAGCTAGAGAGAGAGAGACAGAGACACACAGACAGAGAGACAGACACAGCTAGAGAGAGAGAGACAGAGACACACAGACAGAGAGACAGACACAGCTAGAGAGAGAGAGACAGAGACACACAGACAGAGAGACAGACACAGCTAGAGAGAGAGACCCATTTCCCACAGAAAAGAAAACACGGGGAGCCACAAAACCTGGTAGGGGTGTGTCATGTGACTGGGTGGGAGTGACATTGAGTTGGCCACACCCACCCAGGTTTTGTGGCTCTGTTTTCTTTTATGTGGGAAACTGGTCCAAATGGCTCTTTGAGTGTTTAAGGTTGCAGACCCCTGGTGTACTATGGATCAATAACAAATTATTTGCAACTGAAGAGGGAATGCAATGGCGCTAGGCTGCTAGATACCAACACCTTCTGACAGTATATTGGCTATCCAGGTCTCCTGAACACTGGCTTCTGTTAGAATACTGCTCTAATTATATTTATAATGTCTTTATAACTGACTTTTTCAGAGGAGAAAATATGGCAGCTTTATGAAGAAGGGAGGCCTTCTCAAATTTTATTCTCACAAGGACAACCCTATTGAATGGATTGCACTGAGATAAGTTTACATATGGTCACCCAGTGAGATCTGAAATCACAAAGAACTGAAGTTGGATCTAGTGGATCAACCATTACAATAGAGTAGCTCTAGTGTAGGTTAATAGGCTACGCCTATTGTATCTGGGCTGCAATACCTCCAAATGGCAATGGAGACACCGAAAAACCTGATTGCCATCCAAAGATTGTCAAAATTTTTACACATGTCACAGAGGACAGAGCTGAGTAAAAACAGATGCACATCCTCACAACAGCGGAAGTTGCTGAAACCCAGGTAGTTGATTCAGCTCCATGAGTCTTATGACCACGAGTCATAATCGCTTCCTCCTAGCTAGAAAGTGTGCCCTACACTGGCAATTTCTTCAACAGCATATAATTGACATATAATCCTTGGCACAAGAAACAATTTTAGGATGTTTGAAGGGAGCCAAAAGGGTTCGCAGAAGAAGAGTCTCTCAATACCTGTCAATGACTACTTCAGCTTCAACTGCAATAATACACCCGCAAACAATGGATACAAACTCAAAGTAAACTGCTCCAAACTTGATTGCCGAAAATACAACTTCAGCAACAGAGTGGTCAATGCCTGCAATGCTCTACCTGACTGTTGTTACTTCCTCAAACCCCCACAGCTTCAACTTCAAACTGTCTACCGTGGACCTCACCCCATTCCTAAGAGGTCCATAAAGAGGGCATGCATAAGCGCATCAGCTACCGTCTCTGTCCGACTGCACCCATTTATTTGTACTCATTTCTTATGTAGATACTTATACCTGCTTATACTTATATGTTATATTCATACTTATACTTGTTTTCTCATATATGCTTGACAACCCAAATAAAATAAAATAAAAATAAATAAATTCACAATTAGCTACAACGATGGCGGAACCAGGGAAGTATTACAACCGATCCAGCTGGAAGGCGCCCGTGCAATATTATTCTTATTTGGCTGGAAGATGAAGCACAGCCTGTACGCTTCCTGCCTGCTAACATCTTACAGCTAACCTCCTCCTTCGGCCTCATCATTTCCCTCCTTTCCACGAAGTTCCCGCCCTTAAAGGGCAGAGCATTGTACTGTAGCGCGAGGCCTGGCGGGAGTGGCAGTCCGGGCTTTTAATCGAGGGCGCAGTGGCCGCCGGTTGTTGTAGTCGCTTGAGTGTTCTTTTTCTCCCGTGGGAGTCTGGGAAGCGGCGGGTCCGTTTCGCTCAGTCTGGCGGAGGCGACGTTGACGTTATGGCAGCGGGCAGGTCTGTGCGAGCGGCGCGGAGTTGCTTGAGTCCTTTGCTCCACTTGAATTATCCTCGGTTCCACTCCAACAGGTACGGGCCACTCACACTCTTTTTATTCCTCGCCCGTGGCTTTCGGGCTGGTTATCCTCCGTCGCCGCGAGTCGCTTTTTCTCGCCGCGGCTTATCTCAAACGTGCGGTCCCTCCTTGGGGTTGGACGGGACGGTGCGCAGCTTTGTTTGCGTGGTCCCTATTTGCAGCGAGGGTCTTGCAAAGCGAGGCTCCTCGGGGGGAATATTTCGATTTGAATCGTTTCCCCTTGGATGCCCCTTGCGGCTCTTGGAGAAACACGAGGCGATGCAAGAGCCACGGCGGCTGCCTGCCTCCTCCTCCTGCCTCCCAGATTCCCTCGCTGTGGTTGCCTCGCCTATGCTCAAGAAGGGCATCCAGCCTTAAGCAACTAAGGGGTTGGGGGGGGGGGGGAGCGTCCTGGCTCCCGGGTGCATCTTTTGCCGAGCGGCACCTTCCCGAGAATTTGTGAGTTTCGTCCTTCCTCCTCAGAGAAAGGAATCTATAGGATGCGAAGGTCCGGCCGTGAAAGAGAAAGGCCGTGTCCTCATTCCAACGGGGTGAAACAGCCGTTCTTGCTCAGGGTTGGGTGGGGAGGAAGCGTGGGCTCGATATTGGTTTCGCATGATGACTCTTTGCGGTATAGGAGCCAGAAGTGAACATATCTGACACCACTCTCCAACCCCGCCTGGCCTTTTCACCTTTCTTTCTCTTCTCTCAGCACAGGCTTGTTTCTACCTGCACACTTTTAAATCAGCTAATATTTTACCCCCTACCCTACCTCCAATGTTCACTATTGCCTTCAGTCTGATATTTTAATCTCTGGGGCTACCCTTGAAAGCAGGAGAAATCCTTGCAGAAGAGATTGGGGGAGGGGGGGGATCGAACCTTTAAAATACTGCTGATCAACATGATTTTTAAAAAGTTCCAATAATTGGGCTTAATTCTTTGGAATAGTTGTTTAGTTGTTCAGGTAGGTTCTGACACTATATATTTTCCAGCAAACTCCATTGTTCTGCAATACCAACGACTATTGGTAAGCAGGCAAAGCATATTAATGTAGAGCATAATATATAAATGAGGAAACAACTTCTAGGGGCTTTTGTTGAGTGCTGAGTTATAGTGCCATGAAATTTGTGGATCCTTTTCCTGCTTCTATTCCCTCTGTTTCACCCGAATTCCCTCCAAACACAAAACTTAGCAGATTTTAAACATTTTGGTATCTTTAAATGACATCAAAATAAGATGAGCATGCTTCTATGGATGAATAAGGCCTGTCTAGCTCATGGGCCAAGGTCTAGATAAAGGCAAGACCATGGTAACAAAAAAAGATGTAGGGAAATGTTTGTGTCATTGTTAATTACAAGTGGAGGAAATCCCACGTAGTGTATAAACACACACAGTATATGTATATCAGGGGTGGGTTCTGGCAGTCATTACTGTTGGTTTGCTCGTGGGCACGCTGCACGTGGGCATATGATGCGCGCTGTATGTATATGTTTGATGCACACTGTGCGCGTATGCGCAGTGCAATAAAAACTGCTCTGTGCAGAAGCAAAAAACAAGATGGTGGTGCCCTCTTGAGAACTGGTTCAGGGGTGTGGCAGGCCTGGGTCGCTGCCCGTTCCAGAGACCCAGGCCACCAAACCACTACCGGTTCGGCCAAACCGGTAGGAACCCACCACTGATGTATATGTATCTTCTCTGCCATGATTCCTGCCTGATGGAACATTCTTCCCTCTCCCCCCAAAAATGTCCCTTTTGACATTTCAAACGTCCCTCAAGAACAGCTTATGTCACCAGGCCTGGAGCTTCCAGGGAACCTGGAGATATATTTAGGTAGCTCCATTGCTAAGAGAGTGTTGTTATCCTCTCTTTATTTGTTTTTATGATACTTTTTAATATGGATTTTATATTTTTATATTGTTTTTATATGTCTTATGGTTTGTGAGGTAGGTAGCTATACATATTTGAAAAACAAAAACTTCACAAATGTTCTGTCCTGTGTGTAACAGACCCACAGATGAATAAACCAAAGTAGCAGAAAAGCAAACTTCTTATGCTATATGTAAGTAAATGATTTCACAGCAAATTCTAAAGTTAAACATTGAACTTCCCTTTTGAACTTAGCAAAGGATCAGCAAACACCCAGCATGTGATAGACTTAAGTCAACTGTACAAACATCTATGTTACAAAAGACATATGTATTCCTTAGTAAGTTAGATTTCAACACCATTCTGAGGGTGTGTTGTTCCACTTCAGCTGTACTCTGAGGATGTTCACCCCAGGGTATCAAGTACATTATCTCTTGAAGATGACTATTGATCAAGTTTTCTTTCACTTACTCATCCATACTGTGTGTCTGATGGCAGAATGTCTAAAACAGACCTTCTAAAACCGAAGAAGATTCTTGGACAGGCTCACACAGAAGGAATCAACTGTTGAGATTTTAAACTTGTTTTTTTTTTTAGAATCCAGAAGATCAAAAATTCACCATCCTTTATTGAACCCTAAATTAAATGGGTTGCTAATACTTAGAATAGTGGTAGTCAATCTGGTCCCTACCGCCCACTAGTGGGCGTTCCAGCTTTCATGGTGGGCAGTAGGGGTTTGCTGTAACTCTGCTTTATAAATTTTATAAAGTAACGTTACTTCCCTACTTTATAAATCACCATTACTGTGGAACCGGTGGGCGGTTAGAACATTTTACTACTAACAGAGATACAAAAGTGGGCGGTAGGTATAAAAAGGTTGACTACCTCTGACTTAGAAGTATCCAGACAGAGCTAACAGCTGTATTGAATCAATGGAAGCTTGTGTATTGTATCACACAGAGCACAGTACTGTAGAGGAATCTGTTCTAGAATTGGAAGTGCTACAGTAATTAAAAACACAAGAGTGCTCACTGTGATTTAGTGTTTTGGAATATCTGACTTGTCATTCTGACAAAATAATTCCTCAGACTCTGTTGAAAAAAGTGGTCCTGCTCCAGCTGTTGTCATTGAGGCAAGTCCCTTACCTTTCTTCCTTTCTTTTGTAACTGTGGTTCACACCCAAGGCCACAGTTAAGTAGTGCAATTTAAATATTTCACCCTTTAGACAGATTTTTCTAGGTCCTGAAGCATATGAGGCAAAGACAGGTAAAGGACAAAGGACAGCTCTCTTATATATTAAGTATTTATATCAAGATTTGGCCCTAAAAGACCAGAGAAGGTTGATAACTTGACATAGAAGGAAGTGTTATAAATTAAGCGGGTATGTGTTGTGCTGCAGAATTTACTGACCTGGTAAAAGAGAGTGCATGTCTAGACAGTGATGTGCTTTAAGTACGTTTTTGGCAAAGGCTCATTCAAATTCACTGTCACGCAATAAACAGCATGTGCAGTTATGTTCAGATATAAACAACCAGCGAGAAAATGTAAGCATTTAAAGGGCAGCTTGTTTTAGAGAGGAGATTTATGAGCTGTTCTGAATGTTTGTGAACTTATTTCAAGTTTATATCCTTCGACTGGCTGCCTCACTAATCTAAGCCTCATTCAAGCGTTTGCCTGAACCTGTGGAGAAGAAATGTGGCTGCGTACACAGTCCTGACCTGTCCTTCTCCAGCCTTTCTGCCTTGAAGTAAGACAGCTGAAGGGGGCCTGTGTGCTAAGAATGGAGATAATTCAAGGAATCGGGAATCCTAGTTACCTGCTATTAATTTGGCAGGTAAGCCTTCAAATTTTAGTTGATTTAATCACTGTCAATTTACAAAAATTCTAATTGCAGATTAAAATTTGTCTTCTGGAAAAAGCAGAAAAGAATTAAAAGGCAAAATATTCCCTGGTGTATTAACCAAGCTCAACCCTGCTTAAATTCCCAAGTCCAGATATAATCAACTTGATGGTTCCCTTCTAATATGCAGATATTGCAATTTATTATATGACATGAGACCCACCATTTGCCAAGCAGAGGTATGTCCAACCTTTTGGCTTGCCTGGGCTGCATTGAGTGAAGAGGAATTGTCTTGGGCTGCATATATAACTATATATAAAGTTTATGATCTTGTGGGGTTGCATTACAACCTGTCCAGGACCACATAAAGCCCAAAGTGGACACCCCTATACTAAACTATAACCTTTCTTTTAGCTACATATATCACTTTTGTTTTTGTATCTCAAAAAGAAAATTCCTCTTCTGTCCATGGGTACTTCATCCACAATCGGTCCTCATTTAGCAATTACAATTGGGATTGGCAACTTGGTTGTTAAGCGAAGCAAGTGAAATTACAACTCTGCTTATGATCTGACTTCAGCTTTCCTTTTCAAAAGTCATAAATGCAAGAATTGGTCACAAAGTTAATCTGTCATCACCACTGTAACTGCAGTGGCTGTATGAGGCAGGCATTAAAGGTTTGAAGGTTTTATTCGACTTGTATGCCGCCCTATTCCCGAGGGACTCAGGGCGACTAACAAAACCAAGGGGGGGGGGGAGGACGATACAAAAAGGAAAACCACAACAAAAACAAACAACAGTACAAAACAGTCTAAAAGGTCTCAACACGCAAACCCATTCGAGTAGGGGATGGGACTCAGCAGCCCCAGGCCTGCTGGAACAGCCAGGTCTTGACGGCTTTACGGAAAGCCTGAAGGGTGGTGAGGGTCCGAATCTCCACAGGGAGATCGTTCTAAAGGGCCAGAGCAGCCACAGAGAAGGCCCTCCTCTGGGTGGTTGCCAGCCGACATTGGCCGGCCGATGGAATTCAGAGGAGGCCTAATCTGTGGGATCTAATGGGTCTAGAACTACCTATGAGGCGGTCGCTGCCAATAGCCCATGTACCATTAAATGAGTATATAATTGTGTACTTGATAAAGGTTGTCTGTAAATGATTCTTAGAGAAAGTTTTGGTATTTACTTTGAGTGCTTGTGGTTTTTTTAAACTAACTTTACTATGCATTGCATGGTGTCATACAATTGACCTCTTGATAATAAAGACATATTGAGTGGGGTGCTGTTGTAGAAGGCAGGGGTAGCAACAGAGAAGATGCCCACACAATTACATGTTTAAATGAAGAAACCTGAAGCACATCCACTCTGCCAGAATGTACCCTAGCAGGCACAAATAATTGTGGGTAGACTTTCAGACAATCAAGCCCTAAGTCTTGAAGGACATCGTAGGTAATAACCAGCACCTTAAATTGCATATGGAAGTAAGCTGGCAACCAATGCAACTTTACTCATTGCTGCTTATACAGCTGCATTTCGAACTTGTTGTGGCTCCTGGATGGTCTTCATGGGTAGCCCAATGTGGAGTGCATTGCAATAAACCAGTTGTGAGATGCCCAGGATATGAATGAAAGGCGCCTCAAGTTGACGAAAAATGTATTTAATAGTAAATTGTTATCAGTAGCTGGCAGCATAACTATGTGTATATGTACTGGGGAGAAGGGACTGTGGAATCTAATCTTTACCTAATGCTTTTTTTTTTGAGAAGTTGTTTTTCCCTTTACAAACTGGCTAGAGAGGGGATAACATTAACAAAATCCTAAATGTAGCTAAGGATTTTGTTGGCTGGAAGTCTGGACTATTTTCCACATTGCATTCTTCTTCACAAGCTCACTTGCTGCCATCCTTATGGCCCAAATTATTAGTATAACCTGTCAGTGGGCTTTAATAAAAATCAGTTGCCCCACTCAATTATTAGCTGGATTGCTTAAAATTAAATGTAAGTTTGAGCAATATCTAAGCATCTAAAATATCATTGGGAAACAAATTAGAATTCCGAATAACATTAGCAGATTTAATTAAATGCCCTTGTGACTATTTACCATACGGATTCCCATGTTGCTGCAGCTGAGAATTAAATGTGGATTCAGAGCCTTTTCATAATTGTATGTGCTTCTACACAAAGAAACAATGGCAAAACCGAGTTTTCCTTATTGAAAACAAAGTAATTTTGTTCACTCAGGTTTTGTATATTGAGTTCTGCCTTCTCAGAAAATTTGTACGTCTACATTTGCTACAGCTGTTTCTCAGCTGAGTAAAGTCACCTCTGCTGAATAAAGTATATAGTTTACTGTTGCATTACATAGGATGTTGATAGAATCCTTTGTACTTATTTATATTTCTAAAATTCTAATAAGCATAGAAAATAGATGCCTGCTCTGTTTCCATTTTGTTGATCATATATATACACAATGTTAGCCTACAGTGTAATTGTAAACATTTCCTTGTGTTATAAATGACAAGGAGTGTAGGACTCTCCTTCCTTGTTAGGCAGTTGCTTTCTTATGTTTTGTGTCTATGTCTTGAAGGTGCTAGACAGGAGGGGAGGGAGAAACTATCATAATAGATAATGTCCTATGCCCATGATAATTATCCAATCTGTAAATCAGCAACATCTGAAACAAATTTCCAAACTAAGTAGAAACTTCCTAGCTATTCATTTTTCCTTGATAGAAACCAAAAGCTTTCTCGGTACCCCAGTTAATAAGTGACCCTTTATTTTTAAAATAAATTTGAAATGTATGCTTCTCTACATTTTTGGTCTTTGTTGTTTTAGAGGTTTGCTCTTCGCCTTCAGTACTGCTGCACAACAAAAGAGCACAGGAGATGATTGTGGCCCAGAAGATCCTCAGAATGAACCTAGACAGAACTTGAGGGGAGAAAATTTAGAGCACAAGACCATCAAGCTAGAAGAACAACTCCGTGTCTTAACAGTGAGTAACTTTTTTTCGTTTGACATCCAGAATAAGAGATCCACACATCTAAATTTCTGTGCATTTTCTTAAAGATTCAGCTCTATAACTTAAAGGTTTTTTTTAATCTATGGGACTCTATAGAGTATTTGTCATTTACTGAAGATTAATACTGCTACATCTATCAAATTGCAACTGAAATTGAAGATGATTTAGAAATACATTGTTCCAAATAAAATAGCCAAAGAGCAATTTGGCTAGCTCTGGCTTCTCATGCCACAGTGGTTAATGCATCTAGTTGATATCTATTTTACTCCACCAGGATGCCAGTAGGAGAGATGAGGGACACTAAGAGATCCAAGAAGAGAGAGTAGTTAACAATTTGTATCTTCTGCATAGGGGAACCTTGATGAGATATTAGCAGTCTTAAATGTCTGAATTAATGATACTGAAAAAAGAAGGAAAGAGTTTTATTGGTCCTAATAAGCAGCCTGGGAACATTTGATGTTATCATAGATACACAAGTGTATATTGTCTATTGATACGTAAGTGTCCACTGGATACACCAGAAGAACCTAATGATGTGATAGTCCCTTAAGCAAAAAAATTTAGGCCCCCTTAAGGTTGACTATATCAAAAAACACTCACAAAATATTTAGAGCTGTACTTCATTGATATAAGCCATTATAACAGAAACTTGCAAGTCTGACTGGTTTCCCCTCTGATACCAGAGGGAGTTAGGGAGGAGTCTTTTTGAGTCTCTTCCTAAAATGCCCTGGCTCTGAATAGTTTCTTCAAGGTCATCTCTGTGGTTCCCCACCTGATGACAGATATCTCTCAAGATTGTCTATAGTTTCAGCCAGATTTATGGCAATAGAACCCTTTGTATTGGCAAGGGTTAAGATTTTTTCCTATAGCCCAATAAGGTAGCAGAGAGTACTAACACACCCAGATGGGATCGTGACCAAAAGGACTACACTTTGTACTCCTGCTTTCTTTCATTTTGCTATACCAGATGATGTGCACAGAGGGCGGGACTGACGTCACTACGATACGACATGCAATCTCGAAGTTCCAGGATTGCTGTCGATATCTCTGTTGCTGGACGGTCCTTTTTGGACCTAAACCATCCTGTACAGACAGTGATAGAGAAGGGCATGTCCTGCTGATCTCAGGGGCTTCGCAAAGACCCTGATCGATCCAGGAGAAGCCCTTTTTTCCGGCTACAAGAGAAGCAGCCATTGAAACTGCAGAAGTTTGGGACAGACCCCTGAAATGGAAGTAGAACAGGAGAGAGAGTGTGTCAGAAATGGTGAGAAAAATTTTACTATTAGAGAAGAGAACACCCAAAAAGACTTAGAGTTAAATTAAAATTGAAGACAGAAGAAAGCAAGTGGCGAATTAAGCCTGGATTAAAACTATTGTGTTATCTCTCTCATTTTAATTTTGTTTCTTTCTATGGATGAAATTTTTACAAATGCCTCTTACTTTTAAATTGGACTGGTATTTTCTTTTTCCTTCTTCTATTTTTCCCCATTTTTTGTATTTGTGGATTAAAATTCTCTTTCCTCTCAAGGCTTGGCTGGATCGTAATTTTTAAGCTTTTTCTCTCTCTCTCTCTCTCTTCTTGAGTTCAGAGAGTAAAGAGAGAGGTAAAAGCAGAGAAAAAAGAAGTAACACTGCCACCTAGAGGCTGGAGGCTTGATAACATCTGATATTACAAGGCTATTAAGCACGTTTTATTTACACAGGTGCTCTTTTGGATTAAAGAGAAAGCCTTGACTTGAAAGATTACACTGAATTTGTTTGAAACCTAGAAAAAAGCTTGGATGTTTTGGTGGCAGTGTTTACAACCCAGCAAAATGGCGCAACATGAAGAAGAAAAGGAATTAACATTACAAATAATTATGCTAGAAATTCAAAAAGTTCTAATAACCACAGAGAGAATTGATAAGAGACTTGAGATTATAGAACAAAATACAGAAAGAATGGATGGAAGAGTTGAGAATATTTACAAAACAATGATCAAACTTGAGGACAGAGTTCAAAAAACTGCAAAGAAATATGAACAAAGTGATAAGAAAATTGTTGACACTGACAGCAAACCGAGAGTGGAGGGAAATGATATGTGTGAAATACTGAAAGGGGAGATGGATGAAGTGGAACTCTATCTCAGATTTAAAAATATAGAAGAAGAAAGGGCGGAAAATTTGGCAGAAACAATGAGAATAATTTTGGCAGAAGCACCGGTGATAACTAAACGCAAGCTGATGGAAGGAACATATGGAGAGTTTCGACAGTGGTTCTCAACCTTCCCAATGCCGCGACCCTTTAATACAGTTCCTCATGTTGTGATCCCCAACTATAAAATTGGTGTCTCAATTCCTAAGACCATTGAAAATATGTGTTTTCTGATGGTCTTAGGTGACCTCTGTGAAAGGATTGTTTTTCCTATAGCCCAAAGAGGTCCCGACCCACAGGTTGAGAACCACTGCTCTATAAGATATGGAATGAACAACAAGTTTTGAAGTGGTCTCCCATAGCTGCCTTTTAGGATTATTATTTTATTTAAACTATTTTTCAAGCTCGCTTTATCCTCATCCTTTTTATCATTGTCACAAGTAGAGTTCCCAACTCTGCTTAGCTTTCTAGCTCATCTATGCATGTTATTTGCTGTGGTTACTAAAATAGTTTTTAAATAACTTTGCTGGCTATTACCTTGGAAAATAATTTCTTCTTCCACATATTTTATCACAGTTATAAGAAACAATTTATGTAAGAGCCCTGCTTTTTCATTTTCCCATTTTTTTTTAATTGCTGTTGTATTGCATAACAGTTGCATATTGATCTATGTTAGTGGTTTTCAGACATTTTGTTCTCAGGACGCGTTTATATTCTTAAAAATGATTGAAGACCCCAAAAAAAACCTATGTTAGGTTGTTTATATCTATTAATATTTATTGTATTAAATATTAAAATTCAGAAATTTAATTTAGTTGACTTCAAGAGCCAGTGAACAGGGGCTCTGAAATGGCACTTTTACCTATTTCTTGTTTATGATTATGGTGGTAAGGCTGAGCCCATTGGACAGATAAAAAATAAGAAGTTTTAACTACCTCTTCTAAACCCCCTTCAGTTCTACACACGGCAGCCCAATTTGACTTTACTATTGTGGTTGATGGTTCTTGCTACCACCACTTCATCTAGGAGTGCTTCATCTAGGATAGGATAGAATAAAATAGAATAGAATTCTTTATTGGCCAAGTGGATAGTCACAAGGAATTTCTCTGTGGTTCATATGCTTTCAGTGTAAATAAAAAGACGAGATCTAGGACCACATCCACCTCCATCCACAACCTGCAAAAAAAAATAGCGACCCCACACCTTGTACTACTTTCTGGCAAATTTAAAGGAGAAAAAATGAAATAATTTCTGTATCCCCACTTGCTGCCTCTAGAGCAGCAGTTCTCAACCTGTGGGTCAGGATCCCTTTGGGGGTCGAACAATCCTTTCACAGTGGTTGCCTAAGACCATCGGAAAACACATATTTTTGAAAAAATATGGAAAACATAAAATAATTTTATGGTTGGGGGTCACCACAATATGAGGAACTGTATTAAAGGGTTGCGGCATTCGGAAGTTTGAGACCCACTGCTCTAGAGTATTGAGATATGGGGCTCAAATGAACTCTTCCTTCTCTGTCCTTTGATTTAGGAGGCCTTCTAAGTCAAGGGTGTCAAACCTGCATTGTCATGTGACGTATCAAGAGTTGCTAAACTGGGCGCATGTGTGGCTAGTGGGTGATGCATGCAGCCCACGAGCTGTGAATTTGACACCCTGTTCTAAGTGATAAATAAAAATTAAGCCTTATTGAAAGAAAGAAAAAAAGAAAAAGGAAAAGGAAAAATTGTTTAGATAGTCAGAAGGAAGCATTCAATGGCAAATGAATGGCAAATTGCCCAGAGTCCCTCTCAGAGGGAGGGAGGGAGGAAAGGAAGGAAGGAAGATCAGTTTTCAGGTGGCAACTTAGGAGGAACTTTATAGCAAAGGTAATGCTGTTCTATTTAGAGCTACTTGCTACAAGGAGGGTCCAAATTGCAAACAACACTAGAATTACTGAACTTGTACAAAGAAAACAACGCCAGAAAAAAATAAATTATATTAAGAAATATACCGAATCAAAATAATTCATTTTATGAAGAATTTCTAGCTGAGCTTGTTGCTTGTTTTCTAAGACAAGTTAATGCTTGAAGCTAAAGTTCCCTTCTCGCTTATCTGGATTTTTTTTCAGCTTTTTGTAACCTTTCTTTAAAGATGTTTGCTCTATTTTTAGGTACGATGCTCAGCTATTTCCTACCTACAGTTTTTAAAAGAACTAAAGCCTGGAGAAGGAACAGTTGTGGGTAGAAATCTAGAGAAAGAAGGATTGTGGGGAATATATTCTTTTGTTATATGCTAAAGTAAGCATCTCTCCTCCAGAGGATCCTATTTAATTCAGGGCTATGGATTCCTTATCTGGGAATTAAGCTATCAATCTTGTAAATGTCAGGTGGCATCCCACCTGGAGAAATGGAAATTGCTATCAAGATAATATTTACTAATGCGGCTTCTACATCAATCTATTTTCAGTAAATAACAACTCTATTGCCTATGAGTAAATTGTCAAGCTGCATTAAATATTTGCAGCGATATTGAAATCCTCTAATCGTGTTACTTGGATTAGAATTCTTTGATCTGATTCTGCTTCTTCTCTGCATGTAGGAACGATACCAAAGAGCCCTAATGGATTCTGAAAATGTCAGACGTAGAACACAAAAATTTGTTGAGGATGCTAAGATTTTTGGTAAGTAAACAAACAGGCCAATGTTGTGCCAGAGTTTGTTGCAGTACTACCTGTATATATCCAGTGGTATTTCTTATGAGTGCACACATTAAAAATGATTCCTACGAAATGCTTTGGACCTCATGAGTCCTGCTCTCTTCTCTTTATTGAAGAACTCCAGTAATGTTTTAAATTCTGAATGAGTCTAAAAAAAGATACCACTAGTTTAAATAATCCATCCTTAAAGTTAAGGTTACTCATAATATTTTTTGCATGACACTTTACAGAATCAAGTGAGAAAAAAACAAAATAACACACAGTAAAGCAACGTAATGGTTAAAAATTAAAGCTGCAGTGAAAACACCATCTCAGTGAAATGTAGTGGTTAAGATATTGGAGTAGAAGTATAGAGGCCTACATTAAAATTTCTTGTTAACTGTGGCAGCCTAATGGGTAACTTAGGGCCAGTTACCCTCTCTCAGCCAAAGCCGCCTGTTGGTACGAGAAAAATAGAAGAGTAGTGTGTTCACAATCCTGAGCGCCTGAATGAAAGGCAGGTTATAAATTTAATAAATGATCATTTGGGGATCAAAACTCAATAATAGCCTCTGAGACCCAATTTTATTAGTCCATATTTCTAAATAAAATGGAGCATAAAATAATTGGGTTAACTCATTAGTGACCTGAAGATAACCATAGAGTGAAGCCTCAAAAGAAGATAGTTGCTATGACTGAACAGTTTTTTACAGGTTAAAAGAAATATATACTAGTGATGCAAATATGTAATATCTGGATGGCAATTTGGTGGAAGCATAAAATCAAATCACTTGTAAACACTGTTGTCCCTGGGGCCCAGGAAGTCTTTTTACTTCAGATAATCCAAGATCCCAAAATGTTTTTATTCTCCTAAACTATTGTCATCCTGATTTATTTATTTATTTATTTATTTATTTATTTATTTATTGCTGATCTTTATGTCTGCAGGCATCCAGAGTTTCTGTAGAGATCTGGTAGAAGTAGCAGATATCCTGAAAACAACTTTGGAGATTGTTGTAGAAGAAGAAGATGACCCAACTCTGACCCTGAATAAGATCTGTGAAGGCCTGAGTCTTATAGAAGTCAAACTACAAAGCATTTTTACTAAGCACGGTCTGCAAAAAATGAACCCCATTGGTGGCAGATATGACCCCTATGCCCATGAAATTGTCTGTCATGTGCCAGCAGAAGATATGCAACCGGGCACTGTGGCTTTAGTGACTGTGGATGGTTACAAACTTCACGGCCGCACTATCAGACATGCACATGTAGGGGTGGCAGTAGAATCTCAAGAATCTGATGAACCTCCATCTTAGCAATTGGGATCCTATGAACTTATTTCTTTTGCCCGCATCATCATTGCTGCTTTATTTATTAAGCCACACAGATATGATTTGCTGGCCTCTCAGGATTGGCATGATCCTTTGGCCTTCCTTTTCAAGCTGTCATTATTCAACGTTAGTTTTTCCTGTTGTGTAAAGATATTTTTTCGGTTGTTTCACAAATGTGGTGCCCTCTTTTCTGTTTGTTAATTTTAAGCCTGCATTTAAAGGAATGTAGGATTCATTCCAACAATGCACAGACCTATTGAAAAGTCAGTCAGTAAAATCCCATTGATTTCAATAGGTTTGTTCAAGGGTGACTAAAACTGGATCCTGTTCTCTGAAAAAGGCTTTCCTCCCAAGATTTATTTTTAATTTGCTTGTTAATCACACTATTGTTCCCATTTTCTTTTTTTTTATAATCTGTGATATATATTTAATCTGAGCTTTATTTACAGTAACCCAGAGTCATTCTTATTTCAATCTGGATTTTTTTTCCATTTATGTTTTTATTCATGTGTTATTTGAGACATTCTCCTTAAGCAATACAAGATTTTATTTTATTTTTTCGCCTTTAAATAGGTGGACAATGGTAGTTCTGTGGTTCTTCTACAATCAGTCATGTTTGGGAGAAGATTCTAGGCACCAGTTAACGACTTAAGTCCAAGACTGCCTTCCTTCTGAATCCAATTTCAACAGTTCTTGGGCATTTGTAACCCAAGAATGCATGTGCCAAATCTTGAAGCTTCAACACTTCTCTTTTTGAAAGCTTTTTAGATTTGGTTTTGCATCTCAAAATTTCCCTGAGTGCTTTGGCCAGTAAAAGAATATTCTCGGTCCCAAATTACTTCTGAAAATGGATGCATAGATATAATATTTGTTTTCTTGAACTTTTCGAGAAGCTGCTTTCAAATAGGGGTATGATACCTGTCTTATCTTACAAGAATGGTTTGGCTAGTTTAAAATTGTCATGTATTTTGAAGATGAACATCTTTTGGGGTACTGAGTAATACAGTGGAGTTTATTATGCCCAGCCAAATGATTTATGATGTTGTTTTCCTCTTAAATTGATTTTGAATATGGTCTTCCACATTATGATCTAACTATCCCATCAAACCCACAAATTTGGCATCAAGATTTTCCACATTTCAAAAATTGGCTTAATTCAATAAAAGGTCCTCTAAACATAGCATTTTAAAGTGGGAAAAATCAATACTTAGTATAAAACACCTGTCTTATATCAGGGGTGTCAAACTCAAGGCCCGGGGCCAGATCCAGCCCATGAGGTGCTTACATCTGGCCCATGGGGCCATCCTAGAATCAGCAAAGGACCAGCCTACAGTGCATGTGGCCTTCCTGAGTTCTGTTTTTGCTGGCAGAGTGCTTGGGCCACCACATGGCCCTCTGAACACAAGTGACATCGAGCTGGCCATGCCCACCCCGGCCACATCAAACCTGCCTCCCTAAAATCAAACACAAACCTCATGAAGCCTTCAATGAAATTGAATTTGACACTCCTGCCTTACATGGAGCAGGTCAGTTTATAATTCAGATTATCGAGTCTCTTGCAACAAGATCCTTATTGTGAAGGATCGTCCCTTGGAATTACGTACTGTTCTGTACTATCAAACAATGACTGGATTAGATGAACTAGTGAATAGCAATATAAGAATGATTCCTCACTTAATAATTCTGCAAATAACCTGCTGCCATTTTCCAGCACAGCCTGGTATATTATCACCAGTGATGGAAAGGGATGAATGGTATTGGCCTTTTGGGGAGGTTTTCAACTTTGAGATAATGAATATGCAAATGTTAACGGAGACAGATATTAATTTAGAAATGATTATATGCCGTCCGTTTTATGTTTAATTTAGTCTTTTTTTTTAAAATAAAAAAACAGTTACAGAATCACTGAGTAAATTTAATTCGGGATCAAACCTGAAAATGTGAGCTTTGATATAAATGGGAGCTGGCTTTATGGAGCTATTCAACTCTAAATAAGCCCATATTGTGCAGCAAAACATAGTTCTGATCAAAGCTGCAATGAAGTCTGCTATTGAATCTGTGCTGCTTATATCTGTTGATAAAACAGAGTCCTTGCTATTTTCCTAGAGAATCACTCTTGAATAGCAAACAAGTAGGAAAAAATCAATTCTGATAGGTGAAACTAGGGGCAAGTTGTAATGATGTACATTTGATCAAGAAACCAACATACTGCACTTTTCAGACTATAAGACACACCATGATTTTGAAGAGGTAAAATTTCTTTAAAAAGTTTTTGCACTCTGTAGGCCTCCCAAACCCTCTGCACACCTTGTTTTTTGCACACACACAAAAAGAGCACACAAAGCTTTGGGAGACTTGTAAAGTGTTCCTAGGGGTTGAGGGGGGAACAAAAACGAGCAAAAAACGGCCTATTTTTCGCAAGAAAAAGAAAAGCATGCAGAGGCTTTGGGAGGTTTGTAGAGTGCTCCTGGAGGCTGGGGGGGGGGGCGAACAAACGG